TCTGAACCAGTCCAGCCCCAGTAACTGCACAGTTTACTGCGGGGGTGTTACAACGGGCCTCTCGGGTAAGTTCCACTCCAACAGCATTTTGAAAAGTGTGGCTCTGCCCCCAAACTAACGTCACTGTTTTTATTTACAGAGCAAATTATGAGACAGACCTTTTCACCTTTTGGACAAATAATGGAGATCCGTGTTTTCCCAGAGAAAGGCTACTCGTTTGTGAGGTAAAAGGTTCTGGAGAAGTCCAGCTCTTTATTGCAGCTGTGGTTGTTGTAGAGGCCTTCATAAATAAAGTAGTAGTGGTTAGTGGTTGGTAGTAAACAGACCTTCAGCTGCACCATAGGAGTGCTGAGTAAACCGTCAGCGTGTCTCCTCAGGTTCAACTCCCACGAGGCAGCAGCTCATGCTATAGTTTCTGTGAACGGCACGTCAATAGAAGGCAACGTGGTGAAATGTTACTGGGGCAAAGAGACCACAGACCTGGTCCAGGGCCCCGTCCAGCCCGTCCAGATGGCGCAGGTACGTCTGCTTCTTACTGTTAGTCTGTCTTTAGTGTTTTTAATCTTGTTTTATCTTGTAAAGAACCTTGGTCAATGCAAGGCGTTGTTGGAAGGTGCTGTAGAAATAAAGTTTATTATTATTATTATTAACATGAGTCGTCATGACTCAGCAACCGTCCTCATATAAATGAATAGTCTGTTTTTGTTGTTGTTGACGACCAGCAGAACACGCTGAGCTTCGCAGCGCAGCCGTACAATCAGTGGGGTCAGTGGTACAGCAACACACAACAGATGGGGCAGTATGTCCCCAACGGATGGCAGGTCCCCAACTACGGTGTGTATGGACAGACCTGGGATCAGCAGGGCTACAAGTGAGTCGTGATCAGAGCAGCTTTCTGGTATTTGACATAAAGAAGTGACAACACACCTCGTTGCACGCAGTGCTGCCGAGACAAACACGTTTCACTCCTTTAAGTCCATTAATAATATTATTAGACATAGAAATCCAAAACAGCTAGGATGTGCAAAATGTAGAATCACTAAGCATTTTTATTCACAACACAACAGACGTGTCAGAAGTTTAACATTACAAACTAGTTTAGGAAGAAATTTGGTCACTTGATTTAAGCAGAACGTTTAAATGTCGGTACATGTCTAAATGTTGGGACGAGTCTAAGGTCGTTTTCACACTAGATAGTCCGGTAGACTCGGTTCGGGACCAATATTCATGAGCTTTTGTTACATTTGAGCTGGTGTGTTTGCATTCACACTGCACTGTGCAGTCGAGTCAACCTGTTGAACCAACCTGTTCCCCCGCTCGCCTGTGGGGGCGCTGCACCAAGAACTACTGAAAGAAACGACACAAAAACCTCTGAAGACACGTCTTCTTCTTCTGTAAATAAAAATAAAATGAAGTGGCATCAAGTTTTAGCAGTTTTAGGAGTTATATTTTGTCATTTTTCAAAAATGGACTTAGCATGAGCAGAAGATGAGACAGAAGACCATGGAGAATATTGTTTTTCCTCACAAGGCAGCTGACGGCTCCATATAAGGTCAGAGAAATGCGTGTTTGTTTACCCTGTGGAGCGGGGCCGGTCTGTTTACATTCACACTGTACTCGAACCGCGCTGGAGTTCGCTTCTACCGGACCGAGACCTAGGTTTTAGCCCGGGCCAGAGTTCGCCTTTTTGTTCCGTGACAGAGTTCGATGGCGCGTTCACACCTCCCTAAACGAGCCGGACTTTCTAGTAAAACGAGCTAGAGTTCGATTAAAGTGGACTAAACAGGGCTAGTGTGAATGCACCCTAAATGTTGTGACACGTCTAAATTAGGGATGGGGCCGATCCAATCCGGTATCGGGCTCTGATCCATCCATCCATTCTCTTCCGCTTATCCGGGGTCGGGTCGCAGGGGTAACAGCCTAAGTAGAGATGCCAAGACTTCCCTCTCCCCAGCCACTTGGGCCAGCTCCTCCAGGGGAATCCCAATGCGTTCCCAGGCCAGCCGAGAAACATAGTCCCTCTAGCGTGTCCTGGGTATTCCTCTGGGCCTCCTTCCGGTGGGACGTGTCCGGAACACCTCACCAGGGAGGCGTCCAGGAGGTATCCTAACCATAGATGAGGGTAGGAACAAAGATCAACCAGTAAATTGAGAGCTTCGCCTTTTGACTCAGCTCTCTCTTCACCACGACAGACCGGTACAGCGCCCACTTCACTGCCCACGTTGCACCTATCCGCCTATCAATCTCGCGCTCCATTTTTCTCATTTGTGAACAACACTCCGAGATACATAAACTCTTCCACTTTGGCAGGACCTCCTCCCCGACCCGGAAAGGGCACTCTACCCTTTTCCAGCTGAAGACCATGGCCTCGGATTTGGACGAACTGATCCTCATCCCGGCTGCGTCACACTTGGCTGCAAACCGCTCCAGCGAAAGCTGTAGATCACGACCTGATGAAGCCAATAGGACCACATCATCTGCAAAAAACAGAGAAGGGATCCTAAGGCCACCAAAATGGATCCCCTCAACACCTTGGCTGCGCCTAGAAATTCTGTTCATAAAAGTTATGAACATACTCGGTGACAAAGGGCAACCTTGGCGGAGTCCAACTCTCACTGGGAACTAGCCCGACTTACCTCCAGCAGTAGGGACCAAGCTCTGACATCAGTCGTACAGGGACCCAACAGCCCATATCAAAGGGCCTGGTACCCCATACTCCCAGAGTAACCCCCCACAGGGCTTCCCGAGGGATGCGGTCGAACGCCTTCTCCAAGTCCACAAAGCACATGTAAACTGTTTGGGCAAACTTCCACGCACCCTCCAGGACCCTACTGAGGGTGTAGAGCGGGTCCAGTGTTCCACGACCAGGACGAAAACTGCACTGCTTCTCCTGAATCCGAGGTTCGACTCTCCGACGGACCCTCCTCTCCAGAACCCCGGGATAGGCCTTACCAGGGAGGCTTAAGAGCGTGATCCCCCTGTTGTTGGAACACACGCTACGGTCCCCCTTTTTGAATTGGGGGACCACCACCCCAGTCTGCCAATCCAGGGGATCTGCCCCCGATGTCCACGCAATATTGCAGAGTCGTGTAAGCCAACACAACCCCACAACATCCAGAGCCTTAAGGAACTCTGGGCCATTCTCATCTAACCCTGGGACCCTGCCACCGAGGAGCTTTTTAACCACCTCGGTGACCTCAGCACCAGAGGTTGGAGAGCCCGACCCAAAGTCCCCAGGCTCTGCTTCCTCAGTGGAAGACGTGCCAGTGGGATTGAGGTCTTCAAAGTATTCTGCCCACTGACCCACAAGTTGAGGTCAGCAGCACACCACCTCCACTATAAATAGTGTTGGTGGTGTACCGCTTTCCCCCCCTTAGACGCCGGATGGTGGACCAGAATTGCCTCGGAAGCCGTACAGAAGTCATTCTCCATGGTCTCTCCAAACTCCTCCCATGCCCGAGTTTTTGCCTCAGCGACCACCCGAGCCGTATGCCGCTTGGACTGCCGGTACCCATCAGCTGCTTTTGGGGTCCCACAGGCCAAAAAGGCCAAATGGGACTCCTTCTTCAGCCTGACAGCATCCCTCACCGCCAGTGTCCACTACCAGGTTTGAGGGTTACCGCCACGACAGGCACCGACAACGTTGCGGCCACAGCTCCGATAAGCCGCCTCGACAATAGAGGTGCGGAACATGGCCCACTCAATGTCCCCCGCTTTTCCCGGAATGTGTTCGAAGCTCTCCCGGAGGTGGGAGTTAAAGCTTTGTCTCACAGGAGACTGCCAGATGTTCCCAGCAGACCCTCACAATACGTTTGTGTCTGTCAGGTCTGACCGGCATCCTCCCCCATCATCGGAGCCAACTCACCACCACGTAGTGGTCAGTGGAAAGCTCTCCTCTCTTCACCCGAGTATCCAAGACATGCGGCTGCAGAACAGATGAGACAACAACAAAGTTGATCATCGAACTGTGGCCTACGGTGTCCTGGTGCCAAGAGCACATATGGACACCCTTATGCCTGAACATGGTGTTCGTTATGGACAATCCACGACGAGCACAGAAGTCCAATAACAGAACACCACTCGTGTTCAGATCGGGGGCCGTTCCTCCCATCCACACCCCTCCAGGTCTCACTGTCATTGCCCACGTGCACGTTGAAGTCCCCCAGCAGAACAAGGGAGTCCCCAGGAGGCGCATTCTCCATTGCCCCCTCCAAGGGCTCCAATAAGGGTGGGTAATCTGAACTACTGTTTGGCGCATAAGCACAAACAACAGTCAGAACTTGTCCCCCCCACACGTAGGTGGAGGGAGGCTACCCTCTCATTCACCGGAGTGAACCCCAACGTACAGGCACCACGATGGGGTGGAGCAACAAGTTTGTCCACTCCTGCTCAACGCTTCTCGCCAGGGGCAACTCCAGAGTGGAAGAGTGTCCAACCTCTCTCAAGGAAACTGGTTCCAGAGCCATGTGTTGAGGTGAGTCTGACTATTTCTAGCCAGAACCTCTCAACCTCAAACACCATACCAGCATAATTTACGTATCGGATTTTTCCGATCCAACCTGCAGAGACTTCCGATCCATGATGTATGTCTGTGTCTGCTGAAAAGTCTCCACATGTGATTCCCTGCCAGCTGCTCTGCACGTTGGCTTAAAACTATGGAATGGATTTTCTGAACGGAGGCGTGTCTCATGAACCCAGAGTAATAAGACCCGCATCACATTCCAGAAATCCAGTTCATAGTTTGCAGCCAGTTACAACATGAGGACAGAGTGAGTAGCACTGTGGCTAACAGCTCACCAACTTTTCATCGAAACATGTCCGCTGTATAGAAGTATTTTACACTAGAAACACCACAAAGCAAGATAGCAATGTGCAATGTTTGCAGAGCCATAGAACCACATTAAACCACGGTAAAGTTAGTTTTACGTTGGACATTCGAGCTCCATGGTTTCAGTGGGGCGCTACTCCTGCTCAACCCAAAGAAGGCTGTCTGATTTCGG